AGCTCCTTGGCTACTCCCCTGCAGAGATAGACAAGATTGTCCAGCAGTGTCGTGCCATCCATCTTAGTAAATGGAATGAGACAAAAAACACACTGGGCTTCTGGAGTGAGATTTGGAAGTTCAGGGATGCAGCTGATATCAACTCGTTTCAAGAACTTGCCACGGCTGCTGTGTCTGTGTTGTCTCTTGCCACACTCGAATGCTGAAGTCGAGAGAGTATTCAGCCAGATGAGTGTGGTAAAAAGCAAACTTAGAAATCGGATGTCCTTGCAGACCCTTCACTCCATCCTGTACATTCGAAGCTGTCTGGTGAGGCTTGCTATGAGCACCAGCTGCCTGATCATGTTTTGCAGCTTTTTGGCACATCAGCTGCTTACTCATTTAAGTCGGCTCCCTCAGTTGCTGAACCTGCCATAGAGAGCCTTGACCAAAATGACGATGTCCCAGTCTTTCTGTGAGCCAGCACAGCCTGTGTGTGTGGAGGGGCTCTGGAAAACAACAACAATTAGCCTGAATTAGGGCCAGACTAGTTACCATCGTTTCCTCACTTTGCCATTGACACTTTTTTCTATTGTCTCTTTTTGGTCCATTTAGATTGTTAATGTAGATTGGATACAAAAAACATGTTTATAATGTTATGGTTAAAAAGGTTCATGTTTTACTGTGACTTGTTGTAGGCTCCTAAGTGGACCATAAGGTTAAAAACCAAACTTAAGAAAAAACTAAGTAACTCAGCCAGAGTGTCTCTTTTGGGTCCCAAGCCCGGATAAAGGAGGAGGGTTGGAATTGGGACATTAAAAAAACAAGAAATCGACAGGTGAAAGTTCATTTGTAGTTCTAAACATATTTAGGGTGTTTTTTTACTCACTTTTGTTTTGTTTACTCACTCCTACAGCGTTGTTCCTCTCTCCTACAGCGTTATTCCCCTTTCCTACAGCGTTATTCCTCTCTCCTACAGCGTTATTCCTCTCTCCTACAGCGTTATTCCTCTCTCCTACAGCGTTATTCCTCACTCCTACAGCGTTATTCCTCTCTCCTACAGCGTTATTCCTCTCTCCTACAGCGTTATTCCTCTCTACTACAGCGTTATTCCCCTCTCCTACAGCGTTATTCCTCTCTCCTACAGCGTTATTCCTCCCTCCTACAGCGTTATTCCTCTCTACTACAGCGTTATTCCTCTCTCCTACAGCGTTATTCCTCCCTCCTACAGCGTTATTCCTCTCTCCTACAGCGTTATTCCTCTCTCCTACAGCGTTATTCCTCTCTCCTACAGCGTTATTCCTCTATCCTACAGCGTTATTCCTCTCTCCTACAGCGTTATTCCTCCCTCCTACAGCGTTATTCCTCTCTCCTACAGCGTTATGCCTCTCTCCTACAGCGTTATTCCTCTCTCCTACAGCGTTATTCCTCTCTCCTACAGCGTTATTCCTCCCTCCTACAGCGTTATTCCTCTCTACTACAGCGTTATTCCCCTCCCCTACAGCGTTATTCCTCTCCTACAGCGTTATTCCTCTCTACTACAGCGTTATTCCCCTCTCCTACAGCGTTATGCCTCTCTCCTACAGCGTTATTCCTCTCTCCTACAGCGTTATTTCCCTCTTCTACAGCGTTATTCCTCTCTACTACAGCGTTATTCCTCTCTACTACAGCGTTATTCCTCTCTCCTACAGCGTTGTTCCTCTCTGCTACAGCGTTGTTCCTCTCTCCTACAGCGTTATTCCTCTCTCCTACAGCGTCCATCACAATTACATGCACATGGCCAATTATGCAAATTAGGTGATGACTTCATTTAGCGACTTCTAGCAACTTTTAGGACAGCAATAGCTGCTTTCCTTACCGAGGAGCTGGCAGCACTGCCATATGGGGGAATCGTGTCTCGTTTCCTCTTGTTCTTGATACCACATCTTGTTTTGAGGTGTTTTGACTGGTTCCATGTCAATGCTAATATAGCTGAAATTCACTCACTAGCTAACCGGTAACGATGTATGAGACAAGTGCTCGTGTAAATGCATTTATGTATTCAATAAAGATGAAGAAAGAGTTGACATGTTAATCCTTTGATTCTAAACTCCATCTGTTTTGCTCCACAGGTTTGCTGCTAAAACTACCCACCCGTCTAGAATGCCCTTACGCAGTATGTCATCTTCACGCTAGTCTTGCCCCGCTACTGAACAGACAATTGCAGCGTTTGTAACGCAAGATGGAGCCCTTCAGTCAGAGATCGCAATTATTTTGGGAGATTGCAAAATGACCTTTTCATTCAAGACAGGATAAATATATTGTTTCAGGTGATAGCAAGTTTTGTTTACTTTTTCCTCAACTTGTTTCTCCAACTTTATAGCGAGCCAATTTTCATCTGTGGTTTGGTAACTTCCTGTTCTTTGACGGACTGAAGACGACGAAAAGATTCTAAAATGAGTATGCGGCGTCCGTCTCGCAACTGCACCTTCAACCACAAGGGGGCGTTGCCATTCCACTCTTGTGGACGCACCCATTGAAATGCATGTCATCCGGCGCAATGTAACGAGTTCTTGTAGGTCATGTGTCAACAAGGTTTAAAGTGTCAACCAGAGGCGCTTCAGAAGCTGTCACACGAGAAATTAAAACAGGCAGTTCTCATTTTGGGTAGTAATACTCAGTGGCGACCCGTCATTCAGGGCAGCGCTACATTTAGTTTATGTAGCCTGTTTTGCATGTTACTTTGGCATTACTACGTGTCACATACCAGTTTGCAAACAATGTTTAAAAAAACAAATCATTGGTTAATAAAGCCACATGGTCTCTTTTTTACTTTCTTGAGTAAGGCAGCTCCAAAATGCAGGTGTTTCAGCCTAGCTCAGTGCTTTCTGTGGTGGTGGGGCAGCCAGCTCAGTGCTTTCTGTGGTGGTGGGGCAGCCAGCTCAGTGCTCTCTGTGGTGGTGGGGCAGCCAGCTCAGTGCTTTCTGTGGTGGTGGGGCAGCCAACGGAGGATACGGAGCGTAGGGGTTGGTAATGTGCTCTAGTTGCGCCGTGATTGGCTCATTGTTCTGTCATTCATGGAGACACTACGTCATCGCAAAATCTACGGGGAGAGCTCGAAATTTCAAGCCCCTTCGGTGCTGCCATAGAGTTACATTGGAAGTGCCCATCCAAGAAGGCTCAAGGTCATTGGCCACAGATAAAATATCAAATCACATTATATCTAGCTTTGACATGCCAACATCATACTTTCAAAATCTTAACTAGCAAGCAGTCACCATCATGAATCAGGTTGACAATCTACTGGCAAATCCTTTTCAATCCTTGTCATATGAAGAGAAATTATAGATAAAACGTATTGGTGCTCATCGGCCATTGGACATAAACATTACACAACAAGATGGAAATCGCAAATTCAACAATGAGTGGTTTGGAAGGAATCAGTGGCTAACTGCAAGCATTGCAAAGCAATCACTAGCCTGCTATTCAGTGGAGTGGCTGTGTGGTCCAAGTCTGGGTTTAAGGGCCTCTTTTCCAAGCTTAAAAGGATGAACGTTCAACACCATCAGCCAGAAAAGGTTGAATGCATTGGCCATGTTGTCAGTCCAGCACGACTTCTGCCGCGTTCAAAACAACTGGAAACTCTGAACTGGGAAATCTCAGACTTCAGTGAGTTCAAGACAACTGGGAACTCGGAAAAAAAACTAACTCAGACTGGGAAAATACATTTTGAACGGTCATCCAACTCGGAAACTCAAGCCTCTTTCTAGATCTCCGACCTGAAGATCACGGACGTCATGATTTGACCTTGTTCCCCCCCCCCCCCCCACAGAGTTCCCAGTTGTCTTGAAAAGCACCATAAATCCAGAGAATGCCAGACATGACATTTTCCCACAAGGACCGCCGCGCCACCTTCCTGTTCAAGTGAGCACAGCACAACAAGGTGAGTCCAAAAATGTACTATGCCAGGGAGATACGTATACTGTAGCTAAGAAAGTAATACTAAGTGTATGTTGTGTAGTAAGCTGTTAGTAGCCCATGTGCCTCACCCTAATAATTTGGTCTCTTTCCCCCTCATAACTTAGCCTACTGTTCTGACTTGGTGGTGCACATGTAGCCTATAGCCTGTTTTAGAGAAATGTAATCATCAAATATTGTAAGAGCTTTCATTGTCTGCTTATATGCCCCCTTTATTTATCCTACGGTTCTGACTTGGTGTACAGGGAGAACACTGGAAGAACGGCCCATGTTCTGAATTCTGTCGCTGTACATTTCGAAAGTGCTGAACAACTGGTTCTGACTACGTCCGTCCTGGCTCGCTCATTAACGTCTTAATCGAAATTACGGATTACCTCTTATCCGCTCATCGTTCCCTTGTACAAACTATGCCATACCTCAAATTGTCAGTAAAAACCACATTTGTTTAAGCAAGTCAGCCATGTTTTTTTTAAAGGCAGTAAATGAGGCTGAATGAACTGTTTCGCTGCCAGACGAGGCTCCTCTGATAGCCAGGTGGAGCAGTGGTAAGGTGTTGGGACTGCTGCCTCTGATAGCCAGGTGGAGCGGTGGTAAGGTGTTGGGACTGCTGCCTCTGATAGCCAGGTGGAGCGGTGGTAAGGTGTTGGGACAGCTTTATGGAGGCCCTAACAGTTTGTGGACACCGTTATAGTGCAATTAATGTATTGTTTAGTGTTGTGACTTTGCTGGCATGCATCCCCCCCAAAGAAATTGGGGGAGTTCGCCCCACCAAGATTGCCCCACTAAAATCACCACTGGTAGTACTTAAATGTACAGTACTGGCGTTCCTAGTTAATATTTTGGTCGAAAATACCAATCATTATAAATTCTAACCTTCCAAGTCATCCCCTCATCTGAAATCAAAGAATCAGCAGTGAAATGCACAATAAGAAGACCAGGCAGTTCAATATTCAAATATGCACTTTTATTTGCTGCCTATTCAGATGTATTCCTTCACCATGTCGGACCTCTTGTGCAGCCAAGGACCAGACAGGCATCCTATCCTGCGGGATGTTAAAAGCCTGTCTAGACAGTCACTGTGTAGTTGGGTGTCTAGATGGCGTGAATCTTCTTCCAGCGAGCCAGGGGGCCAGTCGAGGGGATGTACTTCACCCCACAGCCATCAGGAATCACACGCTTCTCAGCCATCATTTGATCAAAGTCCACCGCGTTGAACTTAGTGAAGCCATACTTCTTGGACATGTGGATCTGAGAGAGGGAGAGGGAGAGGTGAGAGTGATCAGAGGTCCTCTACAGACAGTAATGTTTCCCAGTGTGTTAATGAATGTTAGCTTAGTATAGTCCCCTGTAGCTCAGTTGGTAGAGCATGGCGCTTGCAACGCCAGGGTTGTGGGTTCGTTTCCCACGGGGGGCCAGTATGAAAATGTATGCACTCACTCACTGTAAGTCGCTCTGGATAAGAGCGTCTGCTAAATGACTAAAATGTAGAAACACAACCTCTGGCCCTTAAGACGTTTAAACCACAGAGTCTGACATCGAATTAGCATAATAAAGCAATCCATAAAACTCTGTCAGTGTAAGTTAGATATCCGTTGGATGAGTCTCAATCCACCGCATCCGCCGACGTCACACTGCCACATCTGCTGTGAAAGGTGGCATTGCTAGAGCGGCGTGTCAGACCATAAGAAAACCTTGAAAATCCGTCTCCTCACAACAATCGTCTGTAGCGTCCGAATGGTTTGGCTACAAACTATGACCTCTATGGAAAGGAGACTCACCAAAACGATGGTGTTCTCAGTTTTGCTCTAAAACCCCAACAAGCGTCTTGGGACTCCACAGAGGTCGGTGCAGCCGATCTGCCAACTCCTGTCTGTTGAGTGGACAGTTTGGGCTACACACTAATATGACCCCCCCTCTGTGGAAAGGTGAGACTCAGTTGTTTTGCACTAGGAAGCCCACAGGCCTCAACTCGCCTGAAGGTCCACCGGTATGGAAGTATAATATGGAGACTGTTTAATGCCAAAAATATGGGTTTAAATACATGTAAGAAAAAACAAATGTTTCCTGATCTTTCCTTCACACATATATTTTGTGGCGTACAGCAGGTCAGCCACCAGGGGGAGACTCGTCGAGGCCTGGTAACAGATGGGAGTATACATCACGAGGTGGTGGCTCCATCTGCTGGACGGGCCAGGTCTCGCCGGGCTGGAGTATACATCAGGAGGCAGTGGCTCCATCTGCTGGACGGGCCAGGTCTCGCCGGGCTGGAGTATACATCAGGAGGCCGTGGCTCCATCTGCTGGACGGGCCAGGTCTCGACGGGCTGGAGTATACATCAGGAGGCCGTGGCTCCATCTGCTGGACGGGCCAGGTCTCGCCGGGCTGGAGTATACATCAGGAGGCAGTGGCTCCATCTGCTGGACGGGCCAGGTCTCGCCAGGCTGGAGTATACATCAGGAGGCAGTGGCTCCATCTGCTGGACGTGCCAGGTCTCGCCGGGCTGGAGTATACATCAGGAGGCAGTGGCTCCATCTGCTGGACGGGCCAGGTCTCGCCGGGCTGGAGTATACATCAGGAGGCAGTGGCTCCATCTGCTGGACGGGCCAGGTCTCGCCGGGCTGGAGTATACATCAGGAGGCAGTGGCTCCATCTGCTGGACGGGCCAGGTCTCGCCGGGCTCCCCGCACAGGACTAACTGGGGCTGATTGGGAGCTGGGGAGTAATTAAGGGCGGATTGCTCAAGGCCCATAAAGCGGCCAGAAGGGCAGCAGATGAGAGGAGTGGGGGAAGTAGTTGGAGACGGTATCCTGGAGAGGGTCTCATGGGGGAGGACTGGGGGAAGTAGTTGGAGACGGTATCCTGGAGAGGGTCTCATGGGGGAGGACTGGGGGAAGTAGTTGGAGACGGTATCGTGGAGAGGATCTCATGGGGTAGACCTAACCTTTTCTTTGATTATTTTATTAATAAACACCCTTGAAAACGAGCTAATCATACTCTGGCCGTGTCTGATCTGTGTTGAAACTGAGCTAATCACACTCTGGCCGTGTCTGATCTGTGTAAACGTCTTGACCCAAACCCCTGATCTGCCACACACACATACACACACACAGACACACACACACAGACACACACACACAGACACACACACACACAGACACACATACATACATACATACAGGACAGACACTTCACAACAAACTTGAGAATGTTTTGGAGGACTATCTGTTATTCAATGTGTTTGTATGGGCTAATAGCAGTAAAGACTATCTGTTGTTCCATGTAGTGAATCTGTTATTCAATGTGTTTGTATGGGCTAATAGCAGTAAAGACTATCTGTTGTTCCATGTAGTGAATCTGTTATTCAATGTGTTTGTATGGGCTAATAGCAGTAAGGACTATCTGTTGTTCCATGTAGTGAATCTGTTATTCAATGTGTTTGTACGGGCTAATAGCAGTAAGGACTATCTGTTGTTCCATGTAGTGAATCTGTTATTCAATGTGTTTGTATGGGCTAATAGCAGTAAGGACTATCTGTTGTTCCATGTAGTGAATCTGTTATTCAATGTGTTTGTATGGGCTAATAGCAGTAAAGACTATCTGTTGTTCCATGTAGTGAATCTGTTATTCAATGTGTTTGTACGGGCTAATAGCAGTAAGGACTATCTGTTGTTCCATGTAGTGAATCTGTTATTCAATGTGTTTGTATGGGCTAATAGCAGTAAGGACTATCTGTTGTTCCATGTAGTGAATCTGTTATTCAATGTGTTTGTATGGGCTAATAGCAGTAAGGACTATCTGTTATTCAATGTGTTTGTATGGGCTAATAGCAGTAAGGACTATCTGTTATTCAATGTGTTTGTATGGGCTAATAGCAGTAAGGCCTATCTGTTATTCAATGTGTTTGTATGGGCTAATAGCAGTAAGGACTATCTGTTGTTCCATGTAGTGAATCTGTTATTCAATGTGTTTGTATGGGCTAATAGCAGTAAGGACTATCTGTTGTTCCATGTAGTGAATCTGTTATTCAATGTGTTTGTACGGGCTAATAGCAGTAAGGACTATCTGTTGTTCCATGTAGTGAATCTGTTATTCAATGTGTTTGTATGGGCTAATAGCAGTAAGGACTATCTGTTGTTCCATGTAGTGAATCTGTTATTCAATGTGTTTTGTATGGGCTAATAGCAGTAAGGACTATCTGTTATTCAATGTGTTTGTATGGGCTAATAGCAGTAAGGACTATCTGTTATTCAATGTGTTTGTATGGGCTAATAGCAGTAAGGACTATCTGTTATTCAATGTGTTTGTATGGGCTAATAGCAGTAAGGACTATCTGTTATTCAATGTGTTTGTATGGGCTAATAGCAGTAAGGACTATCTGTTATTCAATGTGTTTGTATGGGCTAATAGCAGTAAGGACTATCTGTTGTTCCATGTAGTGAGTCTGTTATTCAATGTGTTTGTATGGGCTAATAGCAGTAAGGGCTATCTGTTGTTCCATGTAGTGAATCTGTTATTCAATGTGTTTGTATGGGCTAATAGCAGTAAGGACTATCTGTTGTTCCATGTAGTGAATCTGTTATTCAATGTGTTTATATGGGATAATAGCAGTAAGGACTATCTGTTGTTCCATGTAGTGAATCTGTTATTCAATGTGTTTGTATGGGCTAATAGCAGTAAGGACTATCTGTTGTTCCATGTAGTGAATCTGTTATTCAATGTGTTTGTATGGGCTAATAGCAGTAAGGACTATCTGTTGTTCCATGTAGTGAATCTGTTATTCAATGTGTTTGTATGGGCTAATAGCAGTAAGGACTATCTGTTGTTCCATGTAGTGAATCTGTTATTCAATGTGTTTGTATGGGCTAAAGCAGTAAGGACTCTCTGTTATTCAATGTAGTGAATCTGTTATTCAATGTGTTTGTACGGGCTAATAGCAGTAAGGACTATCTGTTGTTCCATGTAGTGAATCTGTTATTCAATGTGTTTGTATGGGCTAATAGCAGTAAGGACTATCTGTTGTTCCATGTAGTGAATCTGTTATTCAATGTGTTTTGTATGGGCTAATAGCAGTAAGGACTATCTGTTATTCAATGTGTTTGTATGGGCTAATAGCAGTAAGGACTATCTGTTATTCAATGTGTTTGTATGGGCTAATAGCAGTAAGGACTATCTGTTATTCAATGTGTTTGTATGGGCTAATAGCAGTAAGGACTATCTGTTATTCAATGTGTTTGTATGGGCTAATAGCAGTAAGGACTATCTGTTATTCAATGTGTTTGTATGGGCTAATAGCAGTAAGGACTATCTGTTGTTCCATGTAGTGAGTCTGTTATTCAATGTGTTTGTATGGGCTAATAGCAGTAAGGGCTATCTGTTGTTCCATGTAGTGAATCTGTTATTCAATGTGTTTGTATGGGCTAATAGCAGTAAGGACTATCTGTTGTTCCATGTAGTGAATCTGTTATTCAATGTGTTTATATGGGATAATAGCAGTAAGGACTATCTGTTGTTCCATGTAGTGAATCTGTTATTCAATGTGTTTGTATGGGCTAATAGCAGTAAGGACTATCTGTTATTCAATGTGTTTGTATGGGCTAATAGCAGTAAGGACTATCTGTTATTCAATGTGTTTGTATGGGCTAATAGCAGTAAGGACTATCTGTTATTCAATGTGTTTGTATGGGCTAATAGCAGTAAGGCCTATCTGTTATTCAATGTGTTTGTATGGGCTAATAGCAGTAAGGACTATCTGTTGTTCCATGTAGTGAATCTGTTATTCAATGTGTTTGTATGGGCTAATAGCAGTAAGGACTATCTGTTATTCAATGTGTTTGTATGGGCTAAAGCAGTAAGGACTATCTGTTGTTCCATGTAGTGAATCTGTTATTTCATGTTTGTATGGGCTAATAGCAGTAAGGACTATCTGTTGTTCCATGTAGTGAATCTGTTATTCAATGTGTTTGTATGGGCTAATAGCAGTAAGGACTATATGCTGTTCCATGTAGTGAATCTGTTATTCAATGTGTTTGTATGGGCTAATAGCAGTAAGGACTATCTGTTATTCAATGTGTTTGTATGGGCTAATAGCAGTAAGGACTATCTGTTATTCAATGTGTTTGTATGGGCTAAAGCAGTAAGGACTATCTGTTGTTCCATGTAGTGAATCTGTTATTCAATGTGTTTGTATGGGCTAATAGCAGTAAGGACTATCTGTTGTTCCATGTAGTGAATCTGTTATTCAATGTGTTTGTATGGGCTAATAGCAGTAAGGACTATCTGTTGTTCCATGTAGTGAATCTGTTATTCAATGTGTTTGTATGGGCTAATAGCAGTAAGGACTATCTGTTATTCAATGTGTTTGTATGGGCTAATAGCAGTAAGGCCTATCTGTTATTCAATGTGTTTGTATGGGCTAATAGCAGTAAGGACTATCTGTTATTCAATGTGTTTGTATGGGCTAATAGCAGTAAGGACTATCTGTTATTCAATGTGTTTGTATGGGCTAATAGCAGTAAGGACTATCTGTTATTCAATGTGTTTGTATGGGCTAATAGCAGTAAGGACTATCTGTTATTCAATGTGTTTGTATGGGCTAATAGCAGTAAGGACTATCTGTTATTCAATGTGTTTGTATGGGCTAATAGCAGTAAGGACTATCTGTTATTCAATGTGTTTGTATGGGCTAATAGCAGTAAAGCCAAATTCAATTTCTCAAATCATTTTTTATAGATATTTTGATACTTCAAGGGGTCTTAACATTCTACATCAAAAAGCCAAATGACCCTTGGTATGACCTCATTGCATACAGCTTAGTAGAACCCCCCCCGGCTTAGACAGCAGAGGGTTAAAGGACAAGGTAGCTTATTTTTTTACTTACCAAATCTAGATTGTTTTATGTAAATGCCTGAGGAAGTCCATTGTTGGTTGGGGTAAATTTCAAAAACCAAGTGAAATCACAAAAAGTGTCTCGACACTTCTTCAACATTTCATTTACATAAAAAAAATATTTGGTTAAATACCTTTACAATGATCACTACCACATTTGATCAGTTATCCACAGTGTGTGTCTGTGTGTGTTACCTTCTGGCGTCCGGGGAACTTGAACTTGGCTCTGCGGAGAGCCTCTATAATGTGCTCCTTGTTGCTGGCCTTGGTGCGGACAGACATGATCACCTGACCGATTCTAACACGGGCCACGGTGCCCAGAGGTTTGCCGAACGCACCACGCATCCCCGTCTGGAGCCTAGAGACACAGAACAAACCACGTTGAATTGGACGCACAGAGAGAACACATTTAATTATAGACAAAACACATGTAATGATCTTGGACTTTAAATGGCACCCTACACTCGATGTCAGAGGTCACCAACCGGTCGATCACCAAGCTGTAGAACAGTCAACGATTAAGGCTCTTTTTTTTGGTCTTGCGCGGTTGACAGTAGGTTGACAGTAGGTTGACAGTAGGTTGACAGTAGGTTGACTCAGAAGCCCTGTGCGTTGGGTAGGCAAAGTGTTCCCATTTTGAACTATTTCATTTATCTGAAGGGAAAAACTCGACCTACCCAGTGGACCAGGAGAGCTGTGGCTAAATCAAACTGCCCTATTGAGCTGGCCAATCGGATAGCTCAAATCATTGGCCTACAGCGTCCACCAACCCACAGCAAAGTCTGATACTAGCCTGGGTGAGATTTCATTACTTTTAAAACCATGACCACAGAGAGTCACAGAATACAGCAAAGAGGTGCTGTTTGAATTCCTACCACTCGCGCTGCAGCTGGAATCAATAGACCTGTTTTTATTATTAGCAGATAGTCCGGTCTATTTTCATGTTTAGGAATATTTCACTTTCTCTGGTCATTAGGAACATGAGGCAGACAATGTGACTCCAGTTTGGCCATTAGGTGAAAGACTGTCCCCTCTCTCTGGTCAGTCTCACCGGAGCAGAGCCCTCTGCTGAGACTGACCATCAGGCCCCCCCCCCAGGCGAACCCTCTGCTTCCCACCCTCTGCTGAGACTGACCATCAGGCCCCCCCCCCAGGCGAACCCTCTGCTTCCCACCCTCTGCTGAGACTGACCATCAGACCCCCCCCCAGGCGAACCCTCTGCTTCCCACCCTCTGCTGAGACTGACCATCAGGCCCCCCCCCCCCAGGCGAACCCTCTGCTCCCCCCCCTCTGCTGAGACCGGAGCAGAGACCGAGAGGCGAACCCTCTGCTCCCCACCCTCTGCTGAGACTGACCATCAGGCCCCCCCCCCCCAGGCGAACCCTCTGCCCCCCCCCCCCCCGCCCCCCCCCCGGCGAACCCTCTGCTCTAAAAAATCCCCTGGTCTGACATATAGCAGCAGCACAAGTTGTAAAGGTTGTCTCAGCGGTCCCTTAAAGAAGCCAGCACCTCCCAGCTGGCCTCATACACAACCACAGAGTCACTGTCTGCAGCCACTGCACACCAGAACCACACTGCAGCGAGACTGGTCGGCTTAATAAGCTGCAGGTGTGTGTGTGTGTGTGTGTGTGTTAGGAGTTTGTAGAAGAGTGAGTGCAGTACCTATCAGCCCCAGCGCAGGACAACATCTTGTTGATACGGATGACATGGAAGGGGTGCAGGCGGACCCGGATGTGGAAGCCGTCCTTTCCACAAGTCTTCACCATGTACTTGTTGGCACAGATACGGGCTGCCTCCAGAGCTACAGGAGAGATGGGAGAGTTAACAGACAGGCTGCCTCCAGAGGAGAGAGTTAACAGACAGGCTGCCTCCAGAGGAGAGAGTTAACAGACAGGCTGCCTCCAGAGGAGAGAGTTAACAGACAGGCTGCCTCCAGAGGAGAGAGTTAACAGACAGGCTGCCTCCAGAGGAGAGAGTTAACAGACAGGCTGCCTCCAGAGGAGAGAGTTAACAGACAGGCTGCCTCCAGAGGAAAGATGGGAGATATGGAAAGTACATCAATGTGACATGGTGATCTGACCTTGCATTTCAGAAGACAATGTGTGTGTAACATTGTGAGTGAGTGAGTATGTGCCTGGTCTGTGTGTGTGTGTGGGTCAGAGAAGGTGACTGTCTCCAGAGATACCCCAGCCCCCTCACCTTCGGAGGACAGCTGCTCGTACTCGTCAGAGACCATGTGACCACACAGAGGGAACTCATCCACCCTGGCCTTCTTCCTGCCCAGGTCAAAGATCCTGATCTTAGGATCTACAGAGAGGAGACAGGAGAGGTTAAATAGTTCATGATGTTCTGAATGTCTTTAAAAAAGGTGCACTATGCAGAAATCACTCCTCCATTTCCTGGTTCTAAGAGGTTACCTAATTTCATTTTGTGACAAAACAAGCTGTTTCCCAAACTCTGTCCGGGGCCCCCCAGTTTTACTTTTGGTTTTGTGCACCAGCTGAAAATACAATATTTGTAGGTATGGAAAACGTATTTCACTGTGGTTCAGATGGTACAATGATTCTTTGCACCAGGGTTTCCTAAACTCTGTCCTGGGGCCCCCCTGGGGGTAACGTTTTGGTTTTTGCCCTAGCGCTAACAGTCAAGATGAGTTGGTTATTTGAATCAGCTGTGTTAGCGCTAGGGCAAAAACCAAAATGTTGCCCCCAGGGGGGCCCAAGGAGAGAGTTTAGGAAACCCTGGTGCAAAGAATCATTGTACCATCTGAACCACTGATATTTTCCATTACCAAAGAGTATTTTCAGCTGGTGTACAAAACCAAAATTAAGACTCAAAAATGAAAAACTTAAGGCATAGAAATAGATTTACTGCTTCTTCGTCCAACGACTGACTGAACAAAAACGCAACAATCAACGGTTTTACTGAGTTACAGTTCATACGGAAATCAGTCAATATAAATAAATGAATTAGGTCCTAATCTATGGCTTTCATGACTGTGCATCGGTTGGTCACAGATACCTTTTTTTTTTTTTTTAAGTAGGGGTGTTGATCAGAAAACCAGTCAGTATCTGGTGTGACTACCATTTTTCTCATGCAGCGAGACACATCTCCTTCGCATAGAGTTGATCAGGCTTTTGACTGTGGCCTGTGGAATGTTGTCCCACTCCTCTTCAATGGCTGTGCGAAGTTGCTGGATATTGGCGGGACCTGAACACGCTGTCGTCCACGTCGATCCAGAGCATCCCAAACATGCTCAATGAGTGACATGTCTGATGAGAATGCCATAGAAGAACTGGGACATTTTCAGCTTCCAGGAATTGTGTACAGATCCTTGCAACATGGGGCCGTGCATTATCATACTGAAACATGAGGTGATGGCGGCGGATGAATGGCACGACAATGGGCCTCAGGATCTCGTCACGGTATCTCTGTGCATTCAAATTGCCATGGATAAAATGCAATTGTGTTCGTTGTCCGTAGCTTATGCCTGCCCGTACCATAACCCCACTGCCACCATGGGGCACTCTGTTCACAATGTTGACATCAGCAAACCGCTCTCCCACACGACGACACACACGCAGTCTGCCCGGTACAGTTGAAACCAGGATTCATCCATGAAGAGCACACTTCCCCAGTGTGTCAGTGGCCATCGAAGGTGGGCATTTGCCCTCTGAAGTGCAGTCAGGTCAAGACCCTGGTGAGGACGACGAGCGCGCAGATGAGCTGAGATGGTTTCTGACAGTTTGTGCAGAAGTTCTTTGGTTGTGCAAACCCAGTTTCATCAGCTGTCTGGGTGGCTGGTCTCAGACGATCACGCAGGTGAAGAAGCCGGATGTGGAGGTCCTGGGCTGGCGTGGTTACACGTGGTCTGCGGTTGTGAGGCCGGTTGGACGTACTGACAAATTCACTAAAACGACGTAAAGAAATTAACATTCAATTCTCTGGCAACAGCTCTGGTGGACACTCCTGTGGTCAGCATGCCAATTGCATGCTCCTTAAAAACTTGAGACATCTGTGGCATTGTGTTGTGTGACAAAACTGCACATTTTAGAGGGGCATTTTATTGTCCCCAGCACAAGGTGCACCTGTGTAATGATCATGCTGTTTAATCTGCTTCTTGATATGCCACACCTGTCAGGTGGATGGATTATCTTGGCAAAGGGAGAAATGCTCACTAACAGGGATGTAAACAAATTTGTGCACAAAATGGAGAGAAATAAGCTTTTTGAGCATATGGAAAGTTGCTGGGATCTGTGATTTCTGCTCATGAAACATGGGATCAACACTTTACATGTAGCGTTTACATTTCTGTTCAGTATATAACTAATTTCTGTGAATTTGGTCAGGTCGCTCAAAAGGTCACATTCCAGCTGTAAGCGACCAAATAGACATAGCAAACAGTCAACTAGCTACACCCTCAGTAGTTGGCAGAATTAAAACATTGTAACGTTTTGTCTCAGCGGTCCCTTAAAGGGGCCAGCACCTCCCAGCTGGCCTCATACACAACCACAGAGTCACTGTCTGCAGCCACTGCACACCAGAACCACACTGCAGCGAGACTGGTCGGCTTAATAAGCTGCAGTTAAGAACACATGTTCTTGTTTAGTATTTATTAGAATCCCCATAGGCTGCCACCAATTCAACAGCTACTCTTCCTGGGGTCCAGACAGGAATAAAAAATTACATAAAAGGCAACAGCCTACATCATAAATAAAAAACATTGTAATGTTGTATTATACATTTGTAATGTGTGTGTTACTAGAGTGTGTCTCTTCACAGTCCATGTTGTCCTGAGTGTAAATTTGAGTTTTTTTTTTTTTAAGTCTGATTTTACGGCTTGCTTGAGTTACTTGATGTGGAATAGAGTTCCATGTAGTCATGGCTCTATGTAGTACTGAGTTTCATGGCCTCGGTTCTAAACTGTAAAGAGACCCCTGGTGGCATGTCTTGTGGGGTATGTATGGGTGTCTGAGCTGTGTGTTAGCTGTTTGAACAGACAGTTCGGTGCCTTCAACACCTCTCACCAAGACAAGTAGTGATGCAGTCAATTTAGCATGCAACTGACATTAGCCTTCAGTGTCCATTTAGGGGCCTGAGGTGCTGCTCTGTTCTGGGCCAACTAATTTTCTTGTTTGAGTGGGAATAACCTCAAGGTAAAGGAGAGAGAACTTACCAGGCACACCGCGACAGAAGCGGGACTTGGGGTAGGGCTTGTTCTTGCAGTAGCGATAGCTAAGGGAGAGACAGATGGTTTAATCAAACAATTGTCAGCTGACTACCTACAGTAGCTGCTCGTAGCTAACTGACTACCTACAGTAGCTGCTCGTAGCTAACTGACTACCTACAGTAGCTGCTCGTAGCTAACTGACTACCTACAGTAGCGGCTCGTAGCTAACTGACTACCTACAGTAGCTGCTCGTAGCTAACTGACTACCTACAGTAGCGGCTCGTAGCTAACTGACTACCTACAGTAGCTTCTCGTAGCTAACTGACTACCTACAGTAGCGGCTCGTAGCTAACTGACTACCTACAGTAGCGGCTCGTAGCTAACTGACTACCTACAGTAGCGGCTCGTAGCTAACTAACTACCTACAGTAGCTGCTCGTAGCTAACTGACTACCTACAGTAGCGGCTCGTAGCTAACTGACTACCTACAGTAGCGGCTCGTAGCTAACTGACTACCTACAGTAGCGGCTCGTAGCTAACTGACTACCTACAGTAGCTGCTCGTAGCTAACTGACTACCTACAGTAGCGGCTCGTAGCTAACTGACTACCTACAGTAGCGGCTCGTAGCTAACTGACTACCTACAGTAGCTTCTCGTAGCTAACTGACTACCTACAGTAGCGGCTCGTAGCTAACTGACTACCTACAGTAGCACTACTATAGGCTACTGGCTCAGTCACAATTTGGTTGGTCAAGTGGTTGTGTCAGCTACTTTTACATTCAACACAGGGAAATGCCAACAATGTAGGAGTGATCAGAAGTTCTCCAGAGAACGCCATGTTTATTAGCGTGTAAAGGAAATCTAACCAGTCAGCATGTTGCCTCAGCGGTCCCTTAAAGGGGCCAGCACCTTCCAGCTGGCCTCAAACAACCAGAGTCTGCAGTACTAGGATTGGGCGATGTCAACCTCTGTCCAATCGTGATTAAGTACCCATAAAACATTGATATACAATGGCCAACCCCCAAAAAGGTCAAACGCAAAAAACACAGCTAAAAAAGGACTGCTGGCGTAAACATGCTACAGGAGGGATGAGATTAACCATGACAAAATATATTTCAGCCACACAAAAAAAAAATCTGTACAAAAATAGCCTATTCCTCTCTGTGGCACGAAGGAGATGTCGACGTGCAAGACTGCCTCACTGGTTGTGAGTCACGTGATTTGTTGTAAATCATGAAGGGCCCAGCTGCAGAGCACAACTCTGCCGTCCCCATGAAGGGCCCAGCTGCGGAGCACAACTCTGCCGTCCCCATGAAGGGCCCAGCTGCGGAGCACAACTCTGCCGTCCCCATGAAGGGCCCAACTCTGCCGTCCCCATGAAGGGCCCAGCTGCAGAGCACAACTCTGCCGTCCCCAGAACAGAATCATTATTTAATGATCTGCCTAATCTTCCTCTTACAACACCTCTATACGTTGCCGGTAGGTTCCATATACACTGCCAATAATAAGCTATGGAAATAGGCCTACTCTACACTTCGTTTCCTTCATAAGCTTTGCTCAGCTCTAAGTTCCCGTTTGACTTCATTTGATTTTTCCATCTTGAAGTGGTCTGACAATTTCACTTGTTGTTGCCTGTAATAGTCGTAATAAAAAAAAAAAGTTGTGATAAAGAAATCACCTATAAGACTCACAATTGTTCCTATTTGAAAGCTGAAGCTTCAGGACATTAAACACTATTAGCCTATTTGGGAATAATTATGCCATTTAGCAGACGTTTTTATACAAAGTGACAGTCATGCGTGCATACATTTTACATATGGGTGGTCCCGGGAATGGAACCCACTACCCTGGCATTACAAGCAACGCATTTCAAGCACCATGCTCTACCAAATGAGCTACAAAGAAAACTCCATAATATTAACTTGCCTTAAAATAGTATTTTACAACTTGATGTTAGATGGTTCCTCACCCTGAAAGTAGTTAACAAATCAATGGAAGTGATGTGAGCATGTTTAAAAAGCCCAAATCACCTGAAATCAACTCCATATTTGGTTTGATGTTACTTAGGTGATTTTGACATTTAAAAAACATGCTCACATGCCCCCATCACTTCCATTGATTGTTAACTTGCGGTGGCTAAAGTTAGCTGAAGTTTCTAGTGGCTGTTTAAAGAAAACCGAACCATGGATTAGTTTCTCCTGGTCCATAGACTACTTTCAGGGTGAGGAATCATCTAACATCAAGTTGTAAAAGTGAAATACTCCTTTAATGCTTTTGAAATGCTATTTTAAAAAGCATTTTGAAATGCTGTCATCTATCGCCCTCCAGGTTCCCTTGGAGAGTTCATCAATGAGCTTGACGCCTTGATAAGTTCCTTTCCTGAGGATGGCTCACCCCTCACAGTTTTGGGGGATTTCAACCTCCCTACGTCTACATTTGACTCATTTCTCTCTGCCTCCTTCTTTCCACTCCTCTCCTCTTTTGACCTCACCCTCTCACCGTCCCCCCCTACTCACAAGGCAGGCAATACGCTTGACCTCATCTTTACTAGATGCTGCTCTTCTACTAATCTCACTGCAACTCCCCTCCAAGTCTCCGACCACTACTTTGTATCCTTTTCTCTCTCGCTCTCCTCCAACACTACTCACTCTGCCCCTACACAGATGGTAATGCGCCACCGCAACCTTCGCTCTCTCTCTCCCACTACTCTCTCCTCTTCCATCCTATCATCTCTTCCCTCTGCTCAATCATTCTCCCTCCAATCTCCTGATTCTGCCTCCTCAACCCTCCTCCCTTTCTGCATCCTTTGACTCTCTGTGTCCCCTATCCTCCCGGCCGGCTCGGTCCTCCCCTCCAGCTCCGTGGCTTGATGACTCATTGCGAGCTCACAGAACAGAGCTCCGGGCAGTGGAGCGGAAATGGAAGAAAACTAAACTCCCTGCCGACCTGGCATCTTTTCACTCCCTCCTCTCTACATTTTCTTCATCTGTTTCTGCTGCTAAGGCCACTTTCTACCACTCTAAATTCCAAGCATCTGCCTCTAACCCTAGGAAGCTCTTTGCCACATTCTCCTCCCTGCTGAATCCCCCCCCCCCCTCCTCTCTCTCTGTGGATGACTTCGTCAACCACTTTGAAAAGAAGGTTGACGACATCCGATCCTCGTTTGTTAAGTCTAATGACACTGCTGGTCCTGCTCACACTGCCCTACCCTATGCTTTGACTTCTTTCTCCCCTCTCTCTCCAGATAAAATCTTGCGACTTGTGACTGCAGGCCGCCCAACAACCTGCCCGCTTGACCCCATCCCCTCCTCTCTTCTCCAGACCATCTCCGGTGACCTTCTCCCCTACCTCACCTCGCTGATCAACTCATCCTTGACCGCTGGCTATGTCCCTTCCGTCTTCAAGAGAGCGAGAGTTGCACCCCTTCTCAAAAAACCAACACTCGATCCCACTGATGTCAACAACTACAGACCAGTATCCCTTCTTTCTTTTCTTTCCAAAACTATTGAGCGTACCGTCTTTAGCCAACTCTCTTGCTATCTCTCTCAGAACGACCTTCTTGATCCAAACCAGTCAGGTTTCAGGACTGGTCATTCAACTGAGACTGCTCTTCTCTGTGTCACGGAGGCTCTCCGCACTGCTAAAGCTAACTCTCTCTCCTCTTGTCCTTCTAGACCTGTCTGCTGCCTTTGATACTGTGAACCATCAGATCCTCCTCTCCACCCTCTCCGAGCTGGGCATCTCCGGCGCGGCTCACTCCTGGATCGCGTCCTACCTGACCGGTCGCTCCTACCAAGTGGCGTGGCGAGAAGCTGTCTCCGCACCAGGTGCTCTCACCACTGGTGTCCCCCAGGGCTCAGTTCTAGGCCCTCTCCTATTCTCCCTATACACCAAGTCACTTGGCTCTGTCATATCCTCACATGGCCTCTCCTATCATTGCTACGCAGACGATACACAACTAATCTTCTCCTTTCCCCCCTCTGATAACCAGGTGGCGAATCACATCTCTGCATGTCTGGCAGACATATCAGTATGGATGACGGATCACCACCTCAAGCTGAACCCTGGCAAGACGGAGCTGCTCTTCCTCCCGGGGAAGGACTGCCCGTTCCATGATCTCGCCATCACGGTTGACAACTCCGTTGTGTCCTCCTCCCAGAGTGCGAAGAGCCTTGGCGTGACCCTGGACAACACCCTGTCGTTCTCCGCTAACATCAAGGCGGTGACCCGATCCTGCAGGTTCATGCTCTACAACATTCGGAGAGTACGACCCTGCCTTACACAGGAAGCGGCACAGGTCCTAATCCAGGCACTTGTCATCTCCCGTCTGGATTACTGCAACTCGCTGTTGGCTGGGCTCCCTGCCTGTGCCATTAAACCCCTACAACTCATCCAGAATGCCGCAGCCCGTCTGGTGTTCAACCTTCCCAAGTTCTCTCACGTCACCCCGCTCCTCCGCACACTCCACTGGCTTCCAGTTGAAGCTCGCATCTGTTACAAGACCATGGTGCTTGCCTATGGAGCTGTGAGGGGATCGGCACCTCTGTACCTTCAGGCTCTGATCAGTCCCTACATCCAAACGAGGGCATTGCGTTCATCCACCTCTGGCCTGCTGGCTCCCCTTCCTCAGCGGAAGCATAGTTCCCACTCAGCCCAGTCAAAACTGTTCGCTGCTCTGGCACCCCAATGGTGGAACAAGCTCCCTCACGACGCCAGGACAGCGGAGTCACTCACCACCTTCCGGAGACATTTGAAACCCCACCTCTTTAAGGAATACCTGGGATAGGATAAAGTAATCCTTCTACCCCCCCCCCCCCCCTAAAAAAAAAAAGATATTGTAAAGTGGTTATCCCACTGGCTATAGGGTGAATGCACCTATTTGTAAGTCGCTCTGGATAAGAGCGTCTGCTAAATGACGTAAATGTAAAGTTAATTTGTAGGATTTCGCTTTTTGGCCGTTTGTTTCGCAACAGCGAGGAGGGATGCATGAATAATTTATTTTAGACTAAGCTTTGCTCAACTGTAAGGTTTGTGGCAAACTATTCCTTAGATTTTTCCATCTTTCTATTGTTTGTTCTACCTGATTATTGCCTAGCATGTTTTTAGGTTATTCAAAACTTTGAGAACTTACGGCATTAGATAAATTCATTGTTTGATCATGAAGTACTGCGGCGGGAGGAGGGAGAAAGCCAGCAGGCATAAAAACTGAAGTCATATTCAGAACAAATGGACAGAAGACTAAATGTGTCTTTTAAAATAGTCACTGGATTGTCCACTATAGAAAATGTAAAATGGCTGTAAATTGTTAAATTTATTGAAAAAGGTTATTCAGGCTATAAAGGAATAGGCCACTCTTTGAGCATGTGGAAAGTTGCTGGGATCTGTTATTTCAGCTCATGAAACATGGGATCAACACTTTACATGTAGCGTTTACATTTCTGTTCAGTATATAACTCATATTTCTGTGAATTTGGTCAGGTCGCTCAAAAGGTCACATTCCAGCTGTAAGCGACCAAATAGACATAGCAAACAGTCAACTAGCTACACCCTCAGTAGTTGGCAGAATTAAAACATTGTAACGTTTTGTCTCAGCGGTCCCTTAAAGGGGCCAGCACCTCCCAGCTGGCCTCATACACAACCACAGAGTCACTGTCTGCAGCCACTGCACACCAGAACCACACTGCAGCGAGACTGGTCGGCTTAATAAGCTGCAGTTAAGAACACATGTTCTTGTTTAGTATTTATTAGAATCCCCATAGGCTGCCACCAATTCAACAGCTACTCTTCCTGGGGTCCAGACAGGAATAAAAAATTACATAAAAGGCAACAGCCTACATCATAAATAAAAAAACATTGTAATGTTGTATTATACATTTGTAATGGGTGTGTTACTAGAGTGTGTCTCTTCACAGTCCATGTTGTCCTGAGTATAAATTTGATTATTTATTTATTTTTTTAAGTCTGATTTTACGGCTTGCTTGAGTTACTTGATGTGGAATAGAGTTCCATGTAGTCATGGCTCTATGTAGTACTGAGTTTCATGGCCTCGGTTCTAAACTGTAAAGGGACCCCTGGTGGCATGTCTTGTGGGGTATGTATGGGTGTCTGAGCTGTTTGAACAGACAGTTCGGTGCCTTCAACACCTCTCACAAAGACAAGTAGTGATGCAGTCAATTTAGCATGCAACTGACATTAGCCTTCAGTGTTAGATAAATTCATTGTTTGGTCATGAAGTACAGCGGTGGGAGGAGAGAGAAAGCCAGCAGGCATAAAAACTCAAGTCATATTCAGAACAAATGGACAGAAGGCTAAATGTGTCTTTTAAAATAGTCACTGGATTGTCCACTATAGAAAATGTAAATGGACTTCGGCTATCTGGACCAGATCATCTGACATCGAGACAAACTTTGATGTTTTGGGCTGCTTTGTTCTCTCGCATTCTGTAAATTGTTGAGCATTTATTGAAAAGGTTATTCAGGCTATAAAGGAATAGGCTTATCCAGAGCGACTTACAGTTATTGAGTGCATACATTTTCATACTGGCCCCTCGTGGGAATCGAACCCACAACCCTGGCGTTGCAAGCGCCATGCTCTACCAACTGAGCTATCTTTATTCTGTACGGTATAAACCTCACTATGCTGTGTAATGTGTACCAATAATCACAGACCAATGTAAGACACCAATAAACTCCATAAATAAGTATGTTGCGCCACCCACAAGTTGCATCGTCTAGTTTCGCTACCTAATGCCATTAGCGGTGTTAGCCTTCTAATCCAGCTAGCTACATGAGTTAATAATATAATAATATGCCATTTAGCAGACGCTTTTATCCAAAGCGACTTACAGTCATGCGTGCATACATTTTTGTGTATGGGTGGTCCCGGGGATTGAACCCACTACCTTGGCGTTACAAGCGCCGTGCTCTACCAGCTGAGCTACAGAGGAGTTAGTGTTAACTAGGTATATGACGGGGACGTAGACATCGCTGACAGTGTGTAACATACCATCTAGCTAGTCAGTTTAATGACAACACAAGTTTACGTTACGGCATATAAATCATTTCACAGCAACCCTGCGAATGTAGTTAGCCGGCTCATTGCTGCACATTGTGCAGACACATCCGCCATTTTGTATTTTCACCCAGTGTCAGACTTTATACTGGAGCTAAAACTACGCGACAAAAACACTCACCATCGGGCTGGGCGGCGACCCATGGCTGCGACCTGTTGAAATAACACAAATAAACACTTATTACCAATGGAAAGTAGCTGGGGTTCTAGAGTGGACAAATACTTTATTTTCTATAATTTTTAGAAGAGCGGCAGAGACCACGATGTCACCGTTCACTCACCGAATGGAGGAAAGGAAGTTACAGAGACTTCCGGTGCGTCATATGGGTGCGTTCGCCTGGATAAAATATATGGTAAAAACACACCTGTTTTATTTTTTCATTTGGGTAATCACTTTTGTAATCATAGTTGAATTATGGTTAGTAATCGTAAATTTTTTATTGAATATTTAGGCAGTAAAATTTCCTCCGTAACTACTAGCCAATTGTGGAGCATCTTGGGAAGAGTAGTTTTTACCAAAGATATTTATAACTAACCCAAGATCGTTCATCTCTGTCGTTTACAGTAGGAGAAAATGAACAGTGGTGTAAAGTACTTCAGTAAAAATACTTCAAAGTACTACTAAAGTAGTTTATGGGGTATCTGTACCTTACTATTTATATTCTTGACAACTTTTACTTTTACTTCACTACATTCCTAATGAAAATATTGTACTTTTTACTCCATACATTTCCCCTGACAACCCAAGTACTGGTTACGTTTTGAATGCTCAGCAGGACAGGACAATTGTGAAATTCACACACTTATCAAGATAACACGTGGTCATCAAATCAAATCAAATCAAATTTTATTGGTCACATGCGCCGAATACAACAGGTGCAGACATTACAGTGAAATGCTTACTTACAGCCCTTAACCAACAGTGCATTTATTTTAAACAAAAAAAGTAAGAATAAAACAACAACAAAAAAGTGTTGAGAAAAAAAGAGCAGAAGTAAAATAAAGTGACAGTAGGGAGGCTATATATACAGTAAAATAAAGTGACAGTAGGGAGGCTATATATACAGGGGGGTACCGTTGCATAGTCAATGTGCGGGGGCACCGGCTAGTTGAGGTAGTTGAGGTAATATGTACATGTGGGTAGAGTTAAATCATCCCTAATGCCTATGGTCTGGCGGAGTCACTAAACACAAATGCATCTTTTGTAAATAATGTCTGAGTGTTGGAGTGTGCCCCTGGCTATCCGTACATTTTAAAAACAACAAAATGGTGCCATCTGCTTTGCTTAACATAAGGAATTTGAAATGATTCATGCTTTGACTACTACTTTTGATACTTAAGTATATTTTAGCAATTACATTTACTTTTGATACTTAAATATATTTAAAACCAAATACTTTTAGACTTTTACTCAAGTAGTATTTTACTGGGTGACTTTCACTTTTACTTGAGTAACTTTCTATTAAGGTATCTATACTTTCACTCAAGTATGACAATTGGGTACTTTTTCCACCACTGCATTTCAGAGAGGTCAGATTTTCTCCATGTAACCCTTATTATAAATAACATTTACTCCCTAAGATACAAGTTGGATAGCTACAGATTGTATATCAGATAATGTGATATAACCAAAGATTTTTGGTGAAAAAAGTATCTTAGAAATGTCCGTTTTCAGTTGCAGGTGGGTCTACAAAAACCATAGAAAATTCAGAAAGATATTAAATCCATGTTTTGTAGCGCACAAGGAGGTTCCTCATTGCTGCTGCACATCTAGCATTGCCCAGCATGTTTACAGGAGGTTCCTCATTGCTGCTGCACATCTAGCATTGCCCAGCATGTTTACAGGAGGTTCCTCATTGCTGCTGCACATCTAGCATTGCCCAGCATCTTTACAGGAACTAGGAGTTTATATGCGACCCGCCCGCTGCCATTTGGAGAAGTAAAAGACAGCACATCACCCAGTGCAACAATAACAAAGCTCTACACACATGCAAGCGGCATAGATGGGTTGGCTGACAATGTCACGAAAACGATGCACCTTCAATTGAGCAGAAGTCTGCGTGTTGTTGTGATTCTGGATGGCCAGATAGATACCAACAATGACAAGAAACTGCCATGTGGGGAGTCGAGACTCATTTCAGCATGTTTCATCTTGTTCTTGATACCATGTCATGTTTTGAAGTGTTTTGACTGATTTCAAGTCTATGCTAAAATGACAAAAATTCGCTAGCTAGCTAACCAACAACTGTAAATATATATTTGAGAGACAACAAGTGCTCATTGTGCAAATGCATTTATGTTTTCAATAAACATTGGAGATGAAATATAGTTTCCATGTTGTCAACAATCTAAGCCAACCCCATCTGTTTTGCCCCATAGTTGCGCACGGGTTGGTTCTAAACAACCAACCCCTCTATACCTCAATCGATACAAAACATGGATTTAATATCTTTCTTAATTTTCTATGTTTTTTAATAGAACCACCTGCAACTGGAAACGGACATTTCGAAGATACTTTTTCCCCCACCAAATCGAGAACAAAGAAAGTATCGGCAAGAACAGGTTAGTTTGAAGCGTTCCTGTAACTCCCAGAAATGGACACCAAAAATCTTTGCTTATATCACATGATCTGGCGTACAATCTGTAGCTACAAGTTGGACAACTACTCTAAACTGTCTGAAGACACTGATAGCAACAACAATTGTGTTTGGCCATTATTTTACCAACACGCCACTTTAAGTATGTAGGAGAGATGAAGGCTGTAAATTATCAAGGAAAAATGGACACAAACTACATTTGAAAGGATTTCATACAGAGTTGTTATGGGGGCAGTTCAGAGACACTCCCAGGTCCAGCTGTTTCCTACTGTGACCAGCAGGGGGCGGCACTGCACCAGGAGAGCAGCTCCTGTATCGTCTCTCTGTTCCTCTATACTCCTCTCTCTGTACTGAGTAGATATCGTCTCTCTGTTCCTCTATACTCCTCTCTCTGTACTGAGTAGATATCGTCTCTCTGTTCCTCTAAACTCCTCTCTCTGTACTGAGTAGATATCGTCTCTCTGTTCCTCTATACTCCTCTCTCTGTACTGAGTAGATATCGTCTCTCTGTTCCTCTATACTTCTCTCTCTGTACTGAGTAGATATCGTCTCTCTGTTCCTCTATACTCTCTCTCTGTACTGAGTAGATATCGTCTCTCTGTTCCTCTAAACTTCTCTCTCTGTACTGAGTAGATATCGTCTCTCTGTTCCTCTATACTCTCTCTCTGTACTGAGTAGATATCGTCTCTCTGTTCCTCTAAACTCCTCTCTCTGTACTGAGTAGATATCGTCTCTCTGTTCCTCTATACTCCTCTCTCTGTACTGAGTAGATATCGTCTCTCTGTTCCTCTCTCTCTGTACTGAGTAGATATCGTCTCTCTGTTCCTCTCTCTCTGTACTGAGTAGATATCGTCTCTCTGTTCCTCTATACTCCTCTCTCTGTACTGAGTAGATATCGTCTCTCTGTTCCTCTATACTTCTCTCTCTGTACTGAGTAGATATCGTCTCTCTGTTCCTCTATACTCTCTCTCTGTACTGAGTAGATATCGTCTCTCTGTTCCTCTATACTCCTCTCTCTGTACTGAGTAGATATCGTCTCTCTGTTCCTCTATACTCCTCTCTCTGTACTGAGTAGATATCGTCTCTCTGTTCCTCTATACTCCTCTCTCTGTACTGAGTAGATATCGTCTCTCTGTTCCTCTAAACTCCTCTCCATGTAGTGATTAGATTCAGTCTGACTCAGAGCTCCAGTATGAGGTCATACTATCTGTAAACTGGACTAATGCAGAACAAATGTTTTAACGACGAGGGAGGCTGGGCAATGTTAGGAATTCTAGCCTTGGTTTGACTCTACACACAGAACATACCCAATATAGACCTATACTGTTCACTGTTTCAATTAAACAACAGGCATTTATTTTAAACGGACTATGTTAAATTGTAAGGTTCTTTACGTACTGCACGGCGTATCCAGTAACCTCTAGTAGAACTACCCCACTCTAGATAGTGTAAGCTAAGCGTTTAGTTTGTTCATAGGTGTGTCTTGGCATAGGCCTTAACACAGCTCAGTCCACACTGGAGACTCTTATCTGGTGTTCAGCTGTAGAGAAGTGTTGATTCACTGTCATACTGATATCACTCCTGTACCTTATATTTACCCTTTACAATACGATATGCCTTCACCATGGCAGTCAATGATCACTCAGTCAAGTATATGTTAGGTAGATACGTGTACGAGTGTGTGTCTGCGGCCGGGCGTGTGTTTGGGAAGCTGCTGAAGCGAACCTATTGTTATCAGCCAGGGTGTGCGGCACAACTCTCCCACCAACACACACACACACACACACACACACGCACGCACGCACGCACGCACGCACGCACGCACGCACGCACGCACGCACGCACACACACACACACACACACACACTTCTCCTAAAGACTTCCTTTCTGAGAGCGATGGTCAGGGTGTTACTCGCCACACCCTCAGTGTCACAGAAACACACATGAGTCAGACAGCCCGCTAGCCACTGGGTTACTGGGTAACTGCATACCAACCCCTCACTGGGTTACTGCATACCAGCCGGCTAGCCACTGGGTTACTGGGTAACTGCATACCAACCCCTCACTGGGTTACTGCATACCAGCCGGCTAGCCACTGGGTTACTGCATACCAGCCCGCTAGCCACTGGGTTACTGCATACCAACCCCTCACTGGGTTACTGCATACCAGCCCGCTAGCCACTGGGTTACTGCATACCAGCCCGCTAGCCACTGGGTTACTGCATACCAGCCCGCTAGCCACTGGGTTACTGCATACCAGCCCGCTAGCCACTGGGTTACTGCATACCAGCCCGCTAGCCACTGGGTTACTGCATACCAGCCCGCTAGCCACTGGGTTACTACATACCAACCCGCTAGCCACTGGGTTACTGCATACCAGCTCGCTAGCCACTGGGTTACTGCATACCAGCCCGCTAGCCACTGGGTTACTGCATACCAGCCCGCTAGCCACTGGGTTACTGCATACCAACCCGCTAGCCACTGGGTTACTGCATACCAGCCCGCTAGCCACTGGGTTACTGCATACCAGCCGGCTAGCCACTGGGTTACTGCATACCAACCCGCTAGCCACTGGGTTACTGCATACCAGCCCGCTAGCCACTGGGTTACTGCATACCAGCCGGCTAGCCACTGGGTTACTGCATACCAGCCCGTTAGCCACTGGGTTACTGCATACCAGCCGGCTAGCCACTGGGTTACTGCATACCAGCCCGTTAGCCACTGGGTTACTGCATACCAGCCCGTTAGCCACTGGGTTACTGCATACCAGCCGGCTAGCCACTGGGTTAGCCGACCAACCCCTCACTGTGTTACTATCTACCAACCCCCACTGTGTTACTATCTACCAACCCCCCACTGGGTTACCCCATACCAACCCCTCACTGTGTTACTCCATACCAACCCCTCACTGTGTTACTCCATACCAACCCCTCACTGTGTTACGCCATACCAACCCCTCACTGTGTTACTCCATACCAACCCCCACTGTGTTACTATCTACCAACCCCCCACTGTGTTACTCCATACCAACCCCCAACTGTGTTACTCCATACCAACCCCTCACTGTGTTACTCCATACCAACCCCCCACTGTGTTACTCCATACCAACCCCCCACTGTGTTACTCCATACCAACCCCTCACTGGGTTACTCCATACCAACCCCTCACTGTGTTACTCCATACCAACCCCTCACTGTGTTACTCCATTCCAACCCCCCACTGTGTTACTCCATACCAACCCCCCACTGGGTTACCCCATACCAACCCCCCACTGGGTTACCCCATACCAACCCCTCACTGGGTTACTCCATACCAACCCCTCACTGGGTTACTCCATACCAACCCCTCACTGTGTTACTCCATACCAACCTCACTGTGTTACTCCATACCAACCCCTCACTGTGTTATTCCATACCAACCCCCCACTGTGTTACTCCATACCAACCCCTCACTGTGTTACTCCATACCAACCCCCCACTGTGTTACTCCATACCAAACCCCACTGGGTTACTCCATACCAACCCCTCACTGTGTTACTCTATACCAACCCCTCACTGTGTTACTCCATACCAACCCCTCACTGTGTTACTCTATACCAACCCCTCACTGTGTTACTCCATACCAACCCCTCACTGTGTTACTCCATACCAACCCCCCACTGTGTTACTATCTACCAACCCCTCACTGAGTTACTACATACCAACCCCTCACTGTGTTACTCCATACCAACCCCCCACTGTGTTACTATCTACCAACCCCTCACTGTGTTACTCCATTCCAACCCCTCACTGTGTTACTCCATTCCAACCCCTCACTGTGTTACTCCATACCAACCCCTCACTGTGTTACTCCATTCCAACCCCTCACTGTGTTACTCCATACCAACCCCTCACTGTGTTACTCCATTCCAACCCCTCACTGTGTTACTCCATACCAACCCCTCACTGTGTTACTATCTACCAACCCCTCACTGTGTTACTCCATACCAACCCCTCACTGTGTTACTCCATACCAACCCCTCACTGGGTTACTCCATACCAACCCCCCACTGTGTTACTCCATACCAACCCCCACTGTGTTACTCCATACCAACCCCTCACTGTGTTACTACATACCAACCCCCACTGTGTTACTCCATACCAACCCCTCACTGTGTTACTACATACCAACCCCCCACTGTGTTACTCCATACCAACCCCTCACTGTGTTACTCCATACCAACCCCTCACTGTGTTACTCCATACCAACCCCTCACTGTGTTACTCCATACCAACCCCTCATCTGTGTTACTCCATACCAACCCTCACTGTGTTATTCCATACCAACCCCTCACTGTGTTTATTCCATACCAACCCTCACTGTGTT